GGGTATACGGTTAAGAAAAAACACGCTTTAATCGTCGACTTTCATCGGATTTCCGGTCGCGAGTGATTTTAAAATTTCTCATATCGTGTACACCCAGTATTTCGCGAGGCTTATCGGCCGTCCGAACGAACGAGCGACGTGATAGCGCGTAATCTAGCGCGATACCTCGGCTCGACCGCTGAAACGGTGAAGGCTCGCCGATGACTGGTAATCTCTATTAATTACACTGCCGTAATTGGCAGGTACTCCCGTCGGTCTCTCGCGATCGGACAGCGGGAATCGTCGACCGCTCCGGTTCGACAGAAACCGCCGAGCGCGATCTCGCGGGGAACACGCGGCGTTTTCTTTCCTCGTCTGTTCCACGCCCCCGACACGCCGACTGTGTTCTCACCAGCTGGGGTGTAACGACGGTCTTTAGCCCCTACATTCCCCCCGCCACGTGATCGTTACAACGAAACCTCACGGCTGGAGCCATTTAGGCACGTGAGCCTCCAACGACGTACCGTGCACCAACGTCGTCGCGTAATCACAATGGTTAGCGCGATTGCGATCGGTTAATGACTGAAAAAGTATACCCTCGTTAAGAAATACCGACACGATCGGGCTGGCCGAACACTCCCCGATCCCCAACCCGGCTCACGAACATAAAAATCAATTTCGGTCGGTCTGTAACGCGAAATTCGCCACTCTCGCGAAAGTCGGCCGCTTATTATTAGATTCGACAATTTTTTTCGCCAAAGATGAACCGACACGATCGGACTGGTCATTATTAAGCGGTCATTATTACGCTGCTAAGCAATTGGAACGATGAATACATTCTGCATGATAGAACAATAAATTCTCCTATAATCGTTATTAATCAAACGACAGATAGTATTATACATGCATACAAAGAGCTCTTATATTTGTTCGGTTATACTAGATTGTACAACGCTGCAATTTGCAAATTTTCATAGCTATTGATTATCCGTAATTGAATTACGTTTGTGTGAATAATCATTGAAAAATACAATTCTATAAAAATTTATTTTTGAAAAAAATTACATTTTACATTCGGATTACTTTGAATTTCACAGCAATTCTACGGCAACACAAATACCTTTTCGCGTTTAACGATTCGTGTAATCCTCTCGAACTTAATCACATTTATTAGTGCTAATCATGGTTAACCAAATTATATCTCTATATATAGCACAAGTAGTCTTGTAAAATCTAAAGAGAGATTAGCGGCCCGTTAATTAACCTCGATTGCCAGCTCACGCTTTCGTATTCAAGGATAGCCTCGTTCGTTGTTAGCCCATTTTTCTCGCGGTGACAATAATCGGTTAACAATGCTTCACAAATCATATCTCGTACTTTGACCTGCGGTATTTCTATACAGATATTTCGGCGTTTTTCACTCTGCTGAATGTGACAATAAGCGTATACTCGAGTAAAGCCGGCGATCTGTGTGTGTGTGTGTGTGTGTGTGTGTGGAGTAGTTGGAATACTCCACACATGTAAATTTGCGTGTGTTGAATTTCCACATATGTCAAGCTACATGTAATTTAAATTTTTAACGAGTAATTTATTGAATTTTTTATATATTAATGAACAATTCTGTACGCTCTGATTAACTCTTGGTGAAATCTCCTTTTCTCTGGGTAACCAATCAAATGTATCAAAGGAAAGTTGGGACAGACATGTGAATTCTGACCTGCTGGTGTGCATGCGCCATACAATGCGCCATACATAAAAAATAACGGTGTGAATTTAACACCATGTGGTGTCTACATAATTCTCACTATATTGGTGTTAAATTAACATCAGCATGATATAGATTTAATATGGATTTTAAACACACTCACGAAGGTATTGATGTAAACACCAGTGGGTTTTAAATCTACACAGCTATTTTTAGAGTGTAAGTTTCTTACTTGACGAAGCCAAGATAAATTTATTATTTAAATTATGTCTAATCGATCTCCCACCCGTCGACCACTCCACATGTAAAAAATTTGCTACCCGGGTGTACTTTATCCACGAGACGCGTTATCCCGAAACCCCCTCGCGGCCCCCTTAACGTGTGCCAAACGCGTCGCGCAAAAGTGCGCCTCGCCGGACCCGCGTATCAGAAACAGAGGCTCGCGTCGAATAATTTCACTTTGCGGGCCGCGATAAGGACGCGAGTGCATGTTACCTTACCCGGTATGATTGCGGAATCGCGTGATACGCCTCGCGCACCCGCGACCGCCTCCTTCGCCCGCGAACTCCGCTCGTGACTCGGCCCTTTCACAGTCGCTGAAAGCGACGGGACGAGAGAACGCGAAAAAAATGAAGAAAACGAGAGAATTCCGGGAACGTCGTTGCTCTTTGCACATTTTTCCCCTTTTCTTTTTATTTACCTTTTGACGATGAAAAGACAGACAAAGATACGTCTGCCTCTCTTCACTTAAGGGGGGGCTGGTTTACTAAATCTTGAATAAATTATATAATTATTATATAATTTATTCATTAAAATTTGATTAAGTGGGGAGGGGAGGAGGCAGCTAGGCAGACGTGACAAAGATTGTCATTTTTTATTGGCGGATCCAGAAATTTGTCAAGAGTTAAAGGTTTGTTAATATTTTTAAGAGCTTCTTGAATTAAAAAATATTTTTGGAATTGAAATTGTGATTAACATTTCAGAAATATTAAAAATGCATGTAATTTTTGTATAAATATTTTTAAAAAAGGAGACTTCCTCAATGGCTCCCCCTGTGAATCCGTCAATGCCAATTTTCGTTCTAAGCCAAGTCCGTGTTTCTCACACATATTAATTGCGATCGATAAATTTCTCTGGTAATGTAAATTTCAGATGTGAAACAGCGCTATAAATTTTAAAATTAATAAAAAGGGAACTTATTTGTACGACATGAATGAACGATGGCAATGACGAGGAAGACGAGGAAGACGAGGACGACGAGGATGATGTGAATAGTTTGTGCCAGGAGTTCGTTTGTTTCTTCCTACTTTGTTCTTCCCTTCCTATATCCCACCAGCTTTCCAAGCGAGTTTCCTTGGGGCGAGCGAAGCCGCGAGGGATTTGCGAGTCTCGCGGCGTTTGCTCACTGGCACACAACGATTGAATTTCCGATGTAACTGGCTAACCGCAATCACCTTCCACCAGTTTGGATGAGAGAGCCTTTCTATCAAATATTTGCGAGTCGCAAGGCGATCCCTATATATGGATAGAGATCTCGGCAGTTTTCTTCTCTTTCATTATACGAGCACTAGACGAGCACCAAGTTACCGATTTTTTATTTTCTGCCTTTTACAGAAGTTCCGCAGTTAATAATTCTTATTCATTCGTGGAAAGAATCTATTTTACGAGCTTTCCCAAACCATTTAACAAAACCTTACGCTGCAGTGATTTCAAAAGTTTCTAATAAAAATTTTTTACACATTATTTATATCAATATCAATTTTTTAATAAGTATTATCGTTTAAAAGAGTTTTTGTAATTTTTAAAATAATAGAAAAAATATATAATGTATACATCATGATAATATTTTTAACTTATTTTACAAATTATCAAAAATTATTATCAGAAATATTTAATATTTTAACCGTAATATTGATTCTAAAATTTAATAGCGCGATACACAAACACTATTTCACATGTTCATTTATGACATGTTTAATGTCTCTATTAAATATTTTACGATGTCAGTAAAGAATAAACAATTTTTTTTTAACGAAATTAAAATTATCATTTCGACACTACAAAAACTGGATCTCAATCCAGGGCATCATCAAATTTTTTATAACCCTATAAATATAGTGGCATGTTGAACTAGAAAGAATAAATATCATCTAATATTAACGTAATCAAGTTTGAACAAAAATCCCTTTTTGGCTTTTATTGCTGAAAATAATAAAGATTCTATTCTATTATCTAAAAAACGAAATATCAATATTTATTTTAGCTGAAATTGTTTACTCTTATATTAAATTTTACCTTAATAAAAATATAATAAAAAAATAGTATTCCGTATCTAAAAACATACGCTTGAAAACTAGTACAGAAAAAATAACTAAGAAGAATGTTCATTTTTTAAATCTTTTTTTAAAAGTTTCTTTTTTAAACAGAGGAGGGTAAAAATTTCCTGAGCGTTGTTTTATAATTTTTCGATATAGTATAATAAAACTATTGTAACCGACTATTTGATAATTGAAAAACGAAGTTGACTTTTCTTTGATTTCCCCGACTCTGTTTTTAATTTTCCTGACAATTCCCCGATTTCCTTGATTTCCAATTTTGTAACAACTCTGATAAAATCATATATATCACAAGGAACGATCTCTCGTATGCGTATTAAATACCAAATCAAAGAATTCGCTGAAGCTGCAAGGAACAGTATCGGTTATAACATCGCGATAATAGAATGGTAGCATCCCGGCGATAAAGAAATAAACGACTGACGTGAAGACGAAAGGCCGAGAAAGAGAGAACAAAGTGAATTCGGCAGAAAGAGAGAAAGAGAAGACGCGGGTATATTCGCGCAATTTCAATTCGTACGCGATTTTTCAAGGTGTAACGCCGTAAATATTTGCGGCCGAGACGAACGATACTATCGATGGCAGCAGGGCTCGCGTACGCTGCGCCGCAGCCGGCATATTATTAGGGCGCAAACTATACGAGCCGAGGTATCGCGTAAAATACGCCCGATACCAATAAATCCGCGAATGGCGATCCATAAATACCTGACGGTACGTGCGAGGAGGCCCGCGAGCGAAACGACGGGCGGAAAACTGGCTAGTTGGCCGCCGGCCAGCCGGATATTTTCGTACTCTCGCGCTGCGCCGGACTGCAACGGCGCGGGGAGGGAAGGCCTCATGATGCACCCCCTCTCTCGCGAGAGAGAGAGAGAGAGAGAGAGAGAGAGGGTAAGCGCATTGACTACCCGGTCACTACTTAAATCACTCACGGAATGGATCTACCGCCCCGGCGAATCTAACTAGATTTCCGTGAAAAACCGCTGGCTCGCACGTGAGACTCGACGGCGGCGGAGGCGTCGTCTTTTCGCAAGGAGAGATGAAAACCGGAGCTCGCGTGTCATGCAGTCACGGTGCGCGTAGTTTATTTCCTCTTTTCTCCTCTCTGTGCTCCTCGTCTATCCGCGTGTGCAGACGATGCGTACACGCACGTACGCGCCCGTAAATTTACGCGAGGCGAAGCTAGCGCACCTTTTGCCTAGCCTCACCCATCCCACATCCGGCGGATATGCTCACGTGGGTTTACGGAAAACGAGTTATCGTTTGGGAATTTTCCGACCCGCGGCTTATGAGACGTCTAGGAGAAGAAGGCAGGCACCCGGGCTGAATTAAAACACACAACGCCGTCTCGTGGTGAGAAAGCTTAAGGAAATTTTTGTATAACACAGTACGGAAAGAATTATTACGCTGGTTGCTTATAAAATAGAAGAACAGGCAAGGGATTTACAAAGGCAGGTGATTGCATTCATTCTTGTTAGAGAACTTTCTCTGTGGGAGAGAACTTTTGCAAAATCTCAGATATAATTTTCTCGAAAAAAAAAATGGCTCTTAAATTTTCCCCTTTTCTCCTCCTCGAGAGAGAGCTTTGTATATAATGCAATAGTTCAATGTCAAAGCGAGACGGACAGCAAGAAAATGTATATATCATTAATAATAAGTATATACGGCTACGAGCCAAACTAGATCTTAATGCTGTGTTATTAGAAAAGCATATGTTTATTACCATAAACGTATCAACCACGATTGGATCATTTTCAATTATACAAATTTCAAATCGACTACTCATTTGAAAAACGATGAACTTAACAAAACACATAATATTATTAAGACAGTAATTATAATCCCATATAAAATCATTATTGTGTTCGTAGAAAAATCATTATGGATAGACATGAAATATCTTATTAAATGTGTAAACGTGAAAACATAAATATTGCATAGTTCGGATAAAGATGTGAAATTGTAGGTATCAACGCTTAGTGGTTATCTTAAAAAGAGACCTTGAAAACGCAGTTCACAGGTTCGAAATTACGTTCATAACTGATCAGCTCTAAATGTTGTCTAAAAACATAATTAATCAAAGATTATATAATAATTTAAAAAAAAAAAACAATAAAATGTACATCATTTTCGTCCAGTTTTTCGCCATTCTGAATATGTTTGATACAGCCGCGAAGATTGCCACCGGTACTCCGAGATTCTAATCTCCGATTAAATCCATTCGCGATAATCACTACAAGCGCGCAAGAGTCATCGAAAAGTAACAGTTAACATATCTTTTCCTCCCTTCTCCTCCCCCCTCTCTCTCTTTCTCTTGCTCTCTCATTCTCTCATCAGAGAACGACGACGGTTTACGATTCCAATTACGCGGGATCGAACGTGGATATCCCTCGTTCAATTAAGAAAAACTAATTTTCTCGCTACGAAATCCAAACGATTGTCGCAGTCCGCGCGTACGTTTTTTCCTTTTAGCCGGTGCGGTAATTCGTGCGGACGGTCGCTCTCGTTGGATTAAATTTGACGCTTATCGTATTACTACGCGCATGGTTAATCTCTTAACGCCTTAGAAAGAAGATGTGCAAGAGCATCCAGCTGCCACGGCATTGGCCATGTCCGAGGATGTCTGGGATCATCCAAGGAGATGTCATCGCAAAATTCAACGTACAATTTTCTCAAATAATCTCGAGTTTCAGTTGATGGTGAATAACGTAAAATAACCGTAAAATGGTCGAATCTTGAAGTATTAAAAATTCATAATCAGTCGGAAACATAATATTAATTTTCCTTCTCGATATCTAATCTAATTCTCGACCTACATTGAGAAACTACGCTAATTAAAATTCATATCCAACATGAGCGCGCGCACGATATATCGGATCGGCTTATAATAGCCAGTTAATTGCACGTTTTATCAGGCTTAAAGAATCCACGTTATATTAGCTTCGATATAATGGCGCGTTTTGCTACCCACCTTTATAGTTTAATCCCGTAATAGAGACGGATATATTCTCTCGTATGGCGACCGTCCGAATTTTCGGTCGTGCTCCAATTAAATGCCGCTCGGAGGAATAAGTTTCAAGCCGAGAGGAGAAGAGAGGAGAAGAAGGGTGAGAGAAACAAGTTGACCGTACTAAATCCGATATCCTGCGTCCAGCTACTCCACGAAGATACGTCGATATAAACGTATAGGATTTTTATCGGTATCCCGTTCAGGATTGGCACGGATCTTTCGATACGACGATCTGCCATTAGTTACGTCTGGAATACACGTCGGACGACGAAGCGCGGAACTCTGGCCTGGTGATAAAAGTTCGTAACGTAAAAATACAATTTGGAGGAGAGTCACGGGGATCACCGAAAGGATAAGAACTCCCGAATAAATTCTACCATTCTCCTCCTCTCGTCGGTGACCGAAATGTCAGAGAGACTCGCCACGCGTTCACCGAATGTGACAGATTTATGTAGAGATTTATATCTTCTAACTTGACGCTAATCAAGCGAAAACACAGGTTTCCAATGTTTAAAAGTATTTTACAAATAACGTACATTGGAGGATTTATTCCGCAGAATCAATAGACACAATAGAGAATAAAAAATGTATAGAGAAAAGTTTATATATATATATATTATATAGAAAAATACGATTATTTTTTTTTTCCAAACCTTTTTTCCTTCGTATATACGAAATATTATTTTTGGTATACAATATTAAAAAAAAATAACAATCTATCCTATGCGCTAAAAATTGGAAAATGTGGTCCAGTGTAATTAAAGTGATCGCACCACAAAAACCAAATGTCATTCAATATACATGTAGTCTGGAATTAAAACTGTGCATTATTATTAATGTCTCTTTTTTTCTAAATAAACTCAAACACAATGTATTAAGAGTAATTATGTTGCTAAATGAATTAAAGCAAAGATTACAGAATTCTGAGCACATCTGTGTTTGCTCATACGACAGATATATTCCACCGAGAATCTTCGAGCCAAAGTAACAGTCTGACTCAAACCACGACGCATTTGTAGATTAAAAGCAGCAAAAAATATAGGGGCCGGTATTAGTCTTGCTTTTTTCGATGAAAAAGGGAGAAAGAAAATTCGCCTCAAGGTTAGTACTGTCTGTTTCAGTATTCTTTTCCGTTCGCTTGCACACCGTTGCTACTCTACTCTCAAATCTTTACTTAGCTTTTCATACGCTTCGTCTGCATTCGTTAAATAAATTCACGTTGTGGCCCGCCATGTTTCTTTCATCGTCCATTTGTGTGTGAAATGGAAACTTTGCGATTTCTGGCCTCTCAAGTTAAAGTAAATTAAACATGTCAAATCCAGTAATATTTTCTCAATCATTTAACTACCGTTTATAGTAGAAATTGATATTAATTTGTGGAAGACATTGTTAAATTTTTATTCAATTGCAATTTTATTCGAAATATTAATGTAAAAAACATTTCTTTTCTATTAATTCTGCTTCAACTCAATAATAAATATTGATTTAAATTTAACCGGCCGAAATATGGTATCGATAAAAAGTGTTCAGGTTGATTGTCCCGTTCGGAAAACTTTCAGTTAGATCTGATGGGTTTGCAAATAAATAGCCCGGTGCAACATACAGCACACATACGTGTACGTAGAAAGAATCAGGGAAATCGATCCCGATTTCTCCGTAAACCTGTATTATTTCTTGCCTCTATTTGCGGTTTTTTTTTCTTCGACAATCGCGTGTCCTGTTTAGAATGAATGAAATGCGCGGAAACGCAGATACGACGAGGGTGGCAAGGGGGAAAAAAATTAATGAAATGCAGTTGAAACGTGGGCGGCTTTGCGCCGCGATCGATAGCTACCGAAAGAAATAGAAAAAGAAGAACGAGGAAGAGCACGGAAACGTTTCACGCGACCAATCACGATATTACGACGGTGCGAAAGATGAGCAGTCCTTTCGCACAAGAGGTCCGCACAAAGGAATCGATCCTTTCCTCTTTATCTCGTAACGATCCTATCCAACCACTTGATTTCACCCTAAGAAGCCGTTACGAAACTATTTCAATTTCTTTTGCCAAAGGTCCTTCCAGCACCGAGGATTTCTTCGATATTTCCCGTGGATTCGGCATTCTCTACGGACCACTTTATCTCACCCCGCCCCCCCCCCTTAGATCTCTTTCTGCCTCTGCTCTTTTCTTGTCCTTCCTTCTCCTTTTTCACGCCTCGCCCGACGCATATCGCTCCAATCGAGTCGCATGGAACTGGTGCGCCTGCTGTTCGATAACACGGACATTCGCGTACAAAATGAATCGCCCAAAGAGTGCCAATATCCAGATCGTATTATTATTGTCCTAGTTTCACATCCTTTATGTTTCCAATATGAGTTGGATAGGATCGTAGGGTTTTCACAGAATTTCGTCAGATTCTATAATGAGGAGCTGACTGACGTCACATTGTGCGCGACGGAGATTCATTAGCGAACAAAACTTTCGTAAATTTAAGATAAGATCAATTCCAAAATTTGAGAGCGCGAAATATTCGGTCCGTAACCATCGTCACCCACTTTAAATATTAATCGACGCGATATTCTGTAAAGTTTAGATGAGATTTCAAGAATGAATTGCTTGATAAATTTAAGAAATGATATTTTCTCGGTAACAATTTCGGCTAAATGTCATATTTTCTTGCAGCTTTTGTACTTCTAACTTTAAATATTCTCCGTAAGCTCGAAGAGAACACTCTCTTTGAAAATTTGCCAAAACGACTTAGTTTAGAGTGTTAGATAAATCAGTATGCATACCTCAATTTAAATTTTCATTAAGAAAGTCTGTTTAATATTCAAGAGTGCCAAAAAATTTAATTTGTAATCGTTATTTCAGTTTTATTTTTTATGCTTCCGACATTATGCTACTGAATAATTTATAAGATTGATATTGATAGATAAAAGTGATAAATCAATTGTTTGATTTAAATAAACTTTTGTTATTTCTAACTTTCATATGTGTTAAAATATAAAGCGATTCATTTCTGTGATTGGATCAATTTTAAACTAAACAACATCCATATTAGTCGAGCTGGAGCAGTAACGATCTGTAGAAATGATTTAAAATAACTCAAATTGAGTATAATTTAGTATTTTGAATTTAACAGTGCAAAATAAGAGATGAAAAAAAAGAGATATAAAAAATATATTTTCTGTAGAAAGTAGAATCAATTCTTTTTCGGCAAAAATAGTACTTTTCACAATTTCTAGAATCTTACACTTGTCAAATATATCAATTATATCTCATTTGTTTTTAATAAGTCGACATTATTCAACGAATCATTTTTAATTAAAATAACGGAATTAATTTAACTTAAGAAAGTGTATT